CGCCACCATGCCCAGCTAATTTTTTGTATTTTTAGTAGAGACGGGGTTTCACCATGTTGACCAGGATGGTCTCGATCTCTTGACCTCGTGATCCACCCGCCTCGGCCTCCCAAAGTGCTGGGATTACAGGCTTGAGCCACCGCGCCCGGCGTAAGTAAGATAATTTATACTAGAGAAAACTTTATAAGTGTAAAGAATGTGACAAAACTAATACATCTTATTGCACAGGAAAGCATTTTTGCTTGAGAAAGATTATACAAATAGAATGTGAAAAAGCCATTGATACCTGTTCACATCTTACTCCAGCATCAGAGAGTTCATATTTAATAAAAGCATTATAAATACAATTACTGTCAACAGATCTTTCAGAAAATGTAACCCTTTAAAGTGAAGAAGCATGTTATTCTGAAGACAAACATAACAAATATTAGGAGCATAGGAGGTTTGTAGGACCTTTACTTGTATCACAAATCTTACTATATACACATTTTGTACTAGAGGAAAACCCTGAAGCAGTTGCTCAAACTTTGTTCAACATCAGGAAATTTAATGAATTTGGAAAAACGTTTTATTTCAAAGACTGCAGCTTAGAAAACATCAGTTTATATTGAAATGTGTTTTTGCAGATGCAGCAAGTATGAAAAATATTTAACCCAAAATTGAGTCTATGTAAAATATCTGAGAATTCACAGTAGAAATAACTAAGGCACTGACACTTTAGACATTACACTAAAAGAGAGTGTTGAGTATTTAAAAAATCTATAAGTTGCTAGATTATTTGTAAATAATTTTAAAAGGAGCAGAAGATTCTTTGGAGAGTTATACTCAAAGTATACTTTTTCTTGAAAAAATTACAGCTAATTTGAAAAGTAAATGATGAAATTCAACTCTTATCTTCATTTATTCACATGTGAAAGCATGTGATAAATTGTTGCTTTGTCAAATACATGAGAGATTCTCTTTTATTAGATGGGCATTATTATTTTTTTCTGTGGAAAAATATGGGCATTAAAATGTAAGATTTATGATGAAAAAGTGGAGAGACTTTTGTCAGTTTACTTAGTGATGCATGAGATAGGTAGGTGTTCAGAGTAATACTCTATATCATAGTGAAGAAAAGCTTTTTTAATTTTACTTAAATGTAATTAAATTACTAGTGAATCATTCAACTAATTGTACTTTTATGCTATAAATGCAAAAGTTTTTAGATTATGTGTAAACTTAATTTTGTAATTAAACATTTCTTTAACATGTTAAGGCTATTGTGCATTCAATGAAGTGTTATGCCATTAACTTTAACCTATTTCACTTTACTCAAGAAGGGAGGTAAAAGATAGTAACAATATGTTATTTAGTCATGAGATAATAATCTTTCTGTGCCTGACTTATTTCAACTAATATTTTGTCCTCCAAGTTAATTGATGTGATTGAAAATAATAAAATTTTATTTTAGACTCCACATAGCAAAAGCAAGAGTAAGCAAAAAAGAAATCTAGAGGCGTCACATTACCTGACTTCAGACTATACTATAAAGCTATAATCACCAGCACCATGGTGCTGGTATACAAATAGTCACATAGACTATAAACATGTGTGTGCAAGTATCATTTTTCACATAATGCCTTTTTTCCCTCTGGATAGATACCTAATAGTGGGATTGCTAGATCAAATGGTAGCTCTTTTATTTCTTTAAAAAATCTCCACACTTTTTTTTCCAGAGTGGTTGTGCTAGTTTACATTCACACCAGAAGTGTAAAATTTTTCCCTTTTCACTACATCCCCACCAACATCTCTTCTTTCATTTTTATTTTTTAATTATGGCCATTCTTGCAGGAGTGAGATGGTATGATGATATTGTGGTTTTAATTTGCATTACTTTGATAACTAGGGATTTTGAGCATGTTTCCATATGCTTCTTGGCCATTTGTGTCTTTTGAGAATTGTCTATTCATGTCCTTAGCCTACTTTTCAGTGAGATTGTTTTTATTTCTTGCTGATTTGTATGAGTTTTTTGTAGATTCTGGATCTTAGTCCTTTAACAGATGTATAGATTGTGAAGGTTTTATCTCACTCTGTGGTTTGTCTGTTAACTTTGCTGATTATTTTTTTGCTCTGCAGAAGCTTTTTAGTTTAAGCCCCATCTATTTATATTTGTTTTTGTTGCATTTGCTTTTGGGTTCTTCTTCATGAAGTCTTTGCCTAAGCAAATGTCTAGAAAAGTTTTTCTATCTTCTAGAATTTTTACTGTTTCAGGTCTTAGATTTATGTCTTATATCTATCTTGAGTTTATTTTTGTATAAGTTGTGAGATGAGTTTCCAGTTTCATTCTCCTATATATGGCTTGCAAATATCCCTCCATTATTTGATCAATAGGGTTTCCTTTCCCCACTTTATGTTTTTGTTCACTTTGTTAGAAATCTGTTGACTCTAAGTATTTGGGTTTATTTCTGGGTTCTCTGTTCGGTTCCATTGGTCTATGTGTCTATTTTTGTACCAGTATCATGCTGTTTTTGTGACTATGGCTTTATAGTATAGTTGAATATAAACTTTAGGATTGTTTTTTCTTGTTCTGTGAAGAATGGTGTTGGTATGTTGATGGGAATTACATTGAATTTCTAGATTGCTTTTGACTTTATAGTCGTTTTCACAGTATTGATTCTACCAATCCGTGAGCATGGGATGTGTTTCCATTTGTTTGTGTCATCTATAATTTCTTTTAGCAGTGTTTTGTAGTTTTCTGTGTACAGGTCTTTCATGTCATTGATTCGGTGTATATTATTTAATTTTTTTTCCAGCTATTGTAAAAGTAAGTTGCATTCATTATTTAATTCCCAGCTTAGTCACTGTTGCTTTATAACAGAGCTACTGATTTGTGTACGTAAATTTTATATCCAGAAACTTTTCTGAATTCACTTGTCAGTTCTGGGAGGTTATTGGAAGAGTCTTTGTGGTTCTTTAGGTATACAATTATATCATCAAAAAATAGTGACAGCTTAACTTCCTCTTTGCCAATTTGGATGCCCTTTATTTCTTTTTTTTTTTTTTTTTTTTTTAAGACGGAGTTTCACTCTTGTTACCCAGGCTGGAGTGCAATGGCGCGATCTCGGCTCACCGCAACCTCCGCCTCCTGGGTTCAGGCAATTCTCCTGCCTCAGCCTCCTGAGTAGCTGGGACTACAGGCACGCGCCACCATGCCCAGCTAATTTTTTGTATTTTTAGTAGAGACGGGGTTTCACCATGTTGACCAGGATGGTCTCGATCTCTTGACCTCGTGATCCACCCGCCTCGGCCTCCCAAAGTGCTGGGATTACAGGCGTGAGCCACCGCGCCTGGCCGGATGCCCTTTATTTCTTTCTCTTGTTTGATTGCTCTGGATAGGACTTCCAATACTATGTTGAATAAAAGTGGTGAACGTACACATCCTACTCTTGTTCCTGTTCTCAGAGAGAATGCTTTCAGCTTTTCCCTGTTTAGTGTTTTGTAAGCTGTGTGTTTGTCATAGGTGGCTTTTATTACATTGAGTTATATTCCTTATGTGTAGATTTTGCTGAGGGTTTTAATTATAAAGGAATGCTGGATTTTGTCAAATGGTTTTTCTGTGTTTGAGATGATCATTGTTTATAATACTGTTTTTGTGATGTTTCACATTTATTGACTTGTGTATGTTAAATCATCTCTCCCATCCCTGATGTAAAACCCACTTGATCATGGCTGATTACCTTTTTGATATGTTGTTGGATTCATTTAGCTAGTATTTTGTTAAGGATTTTAGCATTTATGTTCATCAGGGATATCAGTCTGTAGTTTTCTTTTTTGGGTATGCAGTTTTCTGGTTTTGGTATTAGGGTAATGCCAGCTTCATAGAATGAATTATGGATGTTTCCCTCTTACCCTGGCTTATGGAATAGTGTCAATAGGATTGGTACCAATTCTTCTTGGAATGTCATGTAGAATTCTCCTGTGAATCTGTCTGGTCCTGGACTTTTTTTGTTGGTAATTTTTTGAATTACTATTTCAATCTCACTGCTTGTTATTCGTTTGTTCAGGGTTTCTGATTTTTCCTGGTTTAAGCCAGGAGGGTTGTATATTTGCAAGAATTAATTCATCTCCTCTAAATTTTTGTGTTTAAGTGTATAAAGGTGTTCATAGTAGCCTTGAATGATTTTTGTATTTCTGTGGTGTCAGTTGTAATATCTCCTGTTTTGTTTATAATTTAAGCTTATTTTGGTATTCTCTCTTTTTTTCTTAGTGAATCATGCTAATGGTCCATCAGTTTTATTTATCTTTTCAAAAACCAGGTTTATGTTTCATTTATCTTTTTTGAATTTTTCAGTCTTATTTAGTTCTGCTCTGATCTTATTTTCTTTCTTCTGCTGGGTTTGGGTTTGGTTTGTTCTTGTTTGTCTAGTTCCTTAAGGTGTGACCTTAGTCTATTTATGCTCTTTTAGACCTTTTTATGTAGACATTTAAAGCTGTGGACTTTCCTCTTAGCACTGCCTTTGCCGTATCCCAGAGGTTTTGATAGGTTTTGTCATTATTTCGTTTTATTAAAATTTTTAAATATTTTTATCTTGATTTTATTGTGGACCCAATGATCATTCAGAAGCAGGTTATTTAATTTCCATGTATTTGAATGGTTTTAAAGGTTTTTGTTGTTGTTAATTTTCAGTATTATTCCACTGTGGTTGGAGAAAGTACTTGGTATCATTTCAATTTTATTAAATTTATTGAGACTTGTTTTG